ATATTTTTTTGTTTTTGTGTTTTTTTTTTGTTTTGACGTGGCTCGGATTTATTAAAGCATTAAAGTTAAGACATGCAATTTAGTGTCAAAGCCGGGAGCTTTACGGCAACAACAACAACAACAACAACGACCCCAACAATCACCAGTGGTAGTGTCAATGTCGCTGTTAAGGCTGCGGCTGCCCTTTGCTTCCGTTGTTGTTGCTTTTTTTGCTGCTGCTGCTACTGGCACAGGACCAGGACATGTACGTGATTACCATGGGAGGCCAGTGCAACAGCGGGTGGTCCTTTTGGCTGGATTCTGGCCGTTACTCCTGCTGCCGTTTGGCAAACTGAATGAGCCTGTAATTTGTACTTGCACTCATGAACAAGGGTATCTTCCCCCTGTGTGTATGTGTGTGTGCGTGAAGTTATTCAGTACAAAATACGGAAAAAATGTCGAGGCAAAAGGCAAAGGACTGGGTCTCCACCCTGCCAAGGTCAGCCCAAGGATAACGCATATTTACGTGTTGCCCCTCCCACTCCAAACGTCGACACTTTGGCAAGCAGCGCCCCGTGATATTTCATGCTTTTGTTTAGCTGCCTCTCACGCACACACACGCACCCGCACATATCTGCTGCTTTGTTGTTGGGGGTTTTTTTTTTCAATTTTATATATTGCAGAAGGCAAGGAAATGGCACATGTTTGTGTTTGTCCTGATGCTGGCGATAATCCACTGATGTCATTTATTTGGCTCGCTGCGTCGACGCCTCATCCGATGCAATCCTCATCCTCCCCTCATCTCCCCTACCTGCTGCCACTGGCCAGGCCAGACTTTATAACCTTATATCTCTATCAACAGCTTGAAGCTTTGAGAATTGCTTACTGACGCAGAGTAAAATTCACGCTTCAATTGAAAATTGCGTGCGTGATATTCAGAACAATGTGTTGTCATCGCAGCAGTCCCAAAAAAGGGCCAACTCCCATAACAATAACAAGTCAACAACTTTATACATATTGATACAAGGGCTGATGCCCCCGACGTATTACCAAAAATGTTTTTGTATGCCCCAACATAATGTATTGGAATTTATGAATAAATATGTTACTGAAAGGGTATTTCGGACTTCCACATATTCTTGACAATCAATTATCACCTGAACACATATTCAGTCAATCGAACGAACCTTTGAAAATAATATTGAATCGAATAGGATGGCGATCTTAAACTTTTTATTCACACGTTTTCCGCATATTTTTCACAGTTGCAGGTGAAATTTTTTGAAACCCCCTTGTGAAGAACAACGCACATTTTCAGCTTCCTAGCTCGTATAGCTTCAATAATCAGTCAGTCAGTCTTATATATGAAGATCAATTTATAAATAAAAAACAAAACTGTCTTCTATTTGGTTAAGTTTTTATTGCAAAAATAAAAGTATTTGGAACTTAGTCAACCATACTGTTAGGGTATGTATTCTTCAGTAATTTCAAAAAGTTCTTCCTTATGTTATTCTTTCACTTTCATGTATACATGTTGCCGTGCTGTGCCGTTTGGTAATCATTCGAATGGCTTCTAATAACATTGAGGTGGATGCTTATATTTATAAATTGTTAAATATAAGCCAAGGTTCCTGGGCATAATAGAAATTCTGAAGGCATCCAACGAAAATAGCAGCGCGTTGTATATATTGTGTACAGATATGGAAAATCGGCAGAAAGCACACAAACCGGCTGCGCCTCAATTGGCCCAACGAGCCGAGGCAATGAGCAGTAACAGGCAGAAGGCAGCAGTCAACAGCATCCTGGCAATGGCAACTTAATGCCAACCAGACTTCGAGATAGCAGGCGGCTAGCGTCAGGGAGGAGTTGCAACACAGAGCGGCCTCCACACAGTTCATTGAGTTCGACTTGCTGTTTGTTTTATTTCCAGACGCGCTTTAATGTCGTTTATATTTATACAATTTAGGCCCGCTTCCCCAGAGCAAGAGCCAAGTGCAAGTGCCGCTTTGTGGGTTCACCAACATCATCTTTCGTGCTCACTCCTCCTGGCCTCAATGAACGGGTCGATAGATTTTTACAGCATGCCTTCCTTTTATGACAAGGACAATAACTCCTTTGCCAGCCTTTTGTGTTTGCGCATTCGCCGCAGTTCATCAATTTATTTAGCATTTTTATGTGCTTTGCCAACTCGAAATTGTTTAAAACGAGCTATATTGATTTAATTAACGTCTCTTAAACGGCCCTAAAGGGAACCAATGTTCCAGTACCAAGCGCTCTGCCCACTTTAGTTACATGCATATTCAATTTGATTGAGCTTCTTCCATTTGAGGACTCTAACAGCATTTTCATGTACGCCTTTTATGTACGGGTTAACAAAACGAAAATAAAAAGATTATAAATCAAATATTGAATTTTTTTAAATTAATTTAAAACTTCGTTATGGCATTTTTCCGTTTTTGGATTGCCAATGGCAAGTATAAATTTAGTTTTTTATCTATAGTGCAATGTAATATTTTGTCCTTTGGAAAAGTAAATATATATGTATATATATATATATATATTTGCTACGCAATTTAATTTTAAAGAATGTATTTCTAAAAGCTACTATAAATAATACTTACCTAAAGGCATTTAACTTTTTACAATTTCGTTATTGTAAAATTTTGAATCTTGCCAGCATTTAATTTATTTACCTTTGCACCACAGTGCCATAGTATAATGCCGTATTCCTAAATATAAAAAAAACAGCATGCGCCCTAATTGAAAACAATAAAAAACAAACAAGAAATAAAACTTTTTAAATGAAAATTATCTTTATTTCGCTTCGCTGACTACTAGAGCACATTTATAATAATAAGCAGGATTGGAGCAAAATGATTGAGGCTTATGAGAGCAATTTGAACCTATTTCAATTATGTGAGACTTAAGCAAATGCCTGCAACATCAGCCAGGGGAACTGTCAAAAACATATTCATGCCACCTACGGGCAAAATTGAGAAGATAAATGGCATAAACATAATTAAATTAAAGCAAAATGGGCCCGTTTTCGGTAGATGAGCTATTTAGAAGGGCGACTCCTTCAGGCAACTGAACAATAGGGGTTCGGGCTCAAATTCTTTAGACGCAGTTCTAATAACGGGTTAGGTTTATTGACTAAATATAAGCGAATGCTGACTATAGCTTATCTTGGGAAGCTCTGGTAAAATGTATTGCAAAATTTTAAAAAATCTCTATACAAATTATCCTTTTAGCCAGATAACTAGCAAATGCGATTTATATGTGTAATTAAACACATTATGGACTGGCGAAATAGAACTATCTGATATTTTGTATATACATGTGTGTGTGTACTGCTATGATAAACTACACACACACACGCCCTCACACAGAAAGTCACACTAACATACTGAACAAGCCACACGCAATAATCATAACAACCGAATAACCGAAATCCCTTCACACACACAACTATCACACACACACACACACAGACACACACACTTGCCATGCCCCAAGGGACTAGAGAATTACGCCCGCGCATTTGGTTGGGGCCACCAACAAAGTCATCAGGACAATGATTGCTCTGGCCTTATATATTGGCAAACAAATTCGCTGAGCAGCTGAAAAAGCGCAGCGAACCCGTCCAATGCCAACACCAGGACCCAGGGAAGCACACGCATTTCGGTTCATTAACCAACCCAACAAGAGAAGCTAGGAAAACAAAAAATAGGGATACAGAGAATAGAGAATCGAGAAAGCGAGAAACTGTAAAGAACTAGCAGCAAAGGGAAACAAAATTACCAGCAAGCAAATAAAATGTTTTCGAGGGTTTAACGCTGCTTCAAATTCCGTTTGGGTGATAAGTTGCTCACTCCAAAGTTTTGCTCCTAATCCTCCCTTGCCCCGCCACCAGTCGCATAAGCTTAAGATCTGTGCAGTTTGCGATTTGATAGCCCCCTGCGCTATGCAACGTTTCTTTTTTATTAGTTCTGCGCTTATCCGCCATTTTGACAGTCGTTATTTGGCTGATTACAACAAGGACAATGCCCAGGCAGTCATTCTCTGTGTGTGTGTGTATGTGTGTGTGTGTGTGTGTCGTTGTGGTGGCAACTGCTGATGTGTAACCACTGCTACACTATGCAACAAACTTGCTGCGCAGCGTAATATTAGAATACTAAAAGACGGGAAGCTTTAGCAACTTATAAATATGTGAGGTACTGTAGTTTCCAGTTTATAAGCTAAAAAGAGGTTTAGGTTTTTAATTTATTTGGTTGTGTAGTTGCATAGTGTTCTTTCGGACCAAACTGCTTTAACTTTAGTCGCTTTTGTGGGTCATTAGTGCGTTGTGTTGCGTAGGTTTTGGTTGGTGGTTGTTTTCTGGCTTATTTTCTCATTAGTTATTTGATGCACGTTGCGCGATTTGTCCCCACAATGTTAGCCAAACGATCCAATTTTCGGTGGGGCACGCACTCAGCTTAAACTTTATGAAGCTCAACATGGCAGGAAATTCCGGCAGCTGCTTGCAGTTTGCGCTTGGCTGTTACCAGTTGTTTTAGATGCGTTGCTTGCATTTCGCGCTTTGCTGACTGCATTCATCTTGGACCCCAACCCACACATCTCCTCGCACCGACAGACTGACTGGCTGACGGACTGAGTGTCTGCTTGAGCGACAGCTGCACAATGCAACCCCTGAGTGGCTTGTGGCACTTGCAATTCCAACTCTATTGCTTGCCCTCACCCAACCACCCAGGAAAGACACCAGAATGTTAACTGAAAACTGTAAACTTTATGTCTGTAGTTTGGCCTCTGCCCCTCGTTGCAATCTTCACCCTTGTGTGTGTATCTTCTTGTTGCGTGTCCATCACAAACATAAAGTGTTGTTTAGCGTGCTGCAAGCCACCAAAAGTTTGCATTTAGACGTAAAAAAAATAACGCTTTGGATGCTCGACCAGCTGAAATTTAAATAATGTGAGGTCAGGCCCGAGTTACTGTTTCAGTATGTTTTAATCTTAATACACATAGTTACACATATATAATACATACAAACGTAGTCGTAATTACATATATATGGAATACAAATCTGTTTTGTTGCTTAACTTTATGGTTGGATTTTTCAATTATATGCCTGGCGGGTCAAGTTTTGTGCTTTAAGTTCTGTTCGCTATTCCTATCATCATCACTATTTGAACCATTTCCCGCTCGTTGGAAAGTTGAATCCCCCGTACTACCTTTAACTCCAAGCTTCAGGATTATTTAACTTTATATTTATATTTAAAAATGAGTTGTAGGGCGACCCAATGAAAAACAAAACGTTGCAATCAAAGCTTTCCGCCCATTTTACTATTTAGGTGTCGACCTATATATGTATATGTGCTTCTTGCCTAATATTATTCTATCATTTATATAAACTTTGACCCACATTTTTCACACAGGAGGAGTTGACTTTCCTCACAGACAAGGATCTTCGAAAATGAGTTTGAAGCCTATCGGATGATGAACAAAGAATTTCACAACATTTTCCACCGATTTTCCACACTTGCGTGTGAAATGTTGCGAACCGCCTCACAAAATTTTAGCTTTCCAGCTTTTAAGGGTTAGGCTTTGCTTTGATCGCCAATCAGTCAGTCGGGGCAAACAGTTTTATGTATTTAAATAAGTTTCTAGTGGATTGGCTCCAAGTAAATTGTAAATTGTAAATTCTTCCTGCCGCTTTTGCTCGGTTTGTTTCCCCTTCTCTATGTGAAAGCACTTAAATGGCTAACTACACACACATATACACATACATAAGATATACAGCTACATGTTTAAGTTTATACTTAACGCTATTTTTGGAACGCACACACATACATACAAATTACTCTATGAGCTTATGTGCTATACATATTGAATATTAATAATTGCCATTTGTTATCATTTTGGTTTATATATCCTTCCTTCTCTCCAGATTTGTTTGTTTTCTAAACAATGAGCATGATTGTGTTTTTTCCACTTTAATTATTTTCTTATGCGAGTTTCTGTTATGTCTGTCAGAATGCATTATGATGCACTTTTCATTATTATTATTAGTTTTTCAGTTTTTCATTGTTGTATTAGAAAAACGGTTTGATTAGCTGAGCATTTTATGAGCCTAATCCTAACCCAATAATGTATTATATAGGTTCTTATTTATGCTATTATAATGTGTATAATTGTGCTGTGAACAGCTTAAGAGCTTATGACATGCCACATTTTTAGATATTTAACTATTGGTGTTGTATCCAGTGTTAACATAGTATGCCTGTGCTACCAGTTTAGAAAATTTACGCTGTTTCATAACTGCCAACTGAAAAGTATAAAAATATAAGTAACTTACGGCTAGTTTCAAACTGTATAAACAGTTTATTAAATTATGATCTTAAGACTTTAAGCAGCTTAGCCATACAGATAAACTTATAATATCTTCGACCTTACATAGCTTATTGTATTTTTTGTGAATTTAACATTAACTTATAGCTATTGTTCAAACAATAATTTGGGTACTTTCACAAAAAGTGCAAAGTCCCAGCTCCATGTGATAAAAAAGAAATACCCTTTGTGAGCCTTTGCACTAGGTGAGCTCGGTTTCTGTGTTTTCTGTTGCTTCACCTAATCATGTTCTGTTTTTAATAATCTTAAACAGAATTTCAATGCCCCGTTTTCTTTCGTTTCTGTGCAAGTTGAAGGGTGCTTAGCTTGTCAAATTTTATTTGTTTACAAAACTGTCTGTCAAAAAGTAGCATACAATCAAACGCACTCGTAGTGTTGTCGACAACATCATAATAGGCAAATGTATATTTATTTGAGAAATGTCGTTAATAAATTTGACGATGCCCCACATTCACAATTTCGTTGAGAGCATGATATACTCAAGCGACATTTAACTTCAAGTCAAGTTAAACTTGATTAGATGCGAAAGAAAACGGGCTGCGCACAGAAATACTACAATTTGGAATAACTTGACATATTGTTTATTTGGAATAGTTTCTTGAAGCCTTTTGCTATTTAATTGATCATATTATTATGAGGCTAAGTTAGGTTTAAATTCTTTTGCACCCGTAATATTATATAGTTGGAATTAGGAAAAACAAATAACTTCATAAACTTGTTATTAACTTTTAAGTTAAGTTTAAATACTCATTAGAGGAGCATTACTTAAAGAGAGGGAAAAGAGAGTAAGGGAGGAGTGTCAGGTACGTGGACAGGTTGAAGACGTAGCTTTCAGTTAAATATAATTCAAAGATGGGTTGACATTTACAGGATGCATGACATAAATAACTTAGGGGATATAATCTATTGATGGAAGATCTAAGATATGACGTCTAATTGTAACTACTTATATGAATATATAAATACAAATACTGGTCCAATAAGAGACATTCAGGTCGTCAAGTTATTGGACCAATATAAATATCAATGCACTAATCACTAATATGGTTGAGTGCTTTGGGAGAGTTTACTTAACCGAAGCGCTTGAAGAACTCGACACCATGCCCGCCTGACTCTCCAGCTGTGGCGTTGTCTGCACCAGGGCCAGACCTACGCTCTCGCTGTCGCTGTTTTCATCGCTATCATGCACATCGTCCACATCCTCCAGCGTTGTGATCTGACTCTGCACGCTCTGGCGCAGTTCAAGCGCTGCATGCTGCACCTCAGTCGGCGACTCCGCAGCCTCTATCAGGGAAGGCGCCGAGCTGCTGGCCACGGCCGTAGCGTCGAGCGATGAGTTGGAGTTGCGCAAACGCTTGATGCCCATCATGGGCAGTGGCAGCGGCATGGGCATAAACGATACATGATGACTCGAGCCCGATGAGCCCGATGGTCCTATGGCGTTGGGCGTCAGCGCAAAGCTGGTATGTTTCATGGCTGGCGTAATTGGAGTATTGGCCGCACTGACGGATTCACCTTTCATCCCACCGCCACCAATAGAGGCCTCTAGCAAGAGCGTGCGCGGCACCGAAGCGAGCGTAAGCGTGGACACCGATGAGGGTCTGCCACTGCCACTGCCGAGATGCAATGTGCTGACTGAGGCTGCCGCTGCTGGTGGCGCCGTAATCGTCACAATAGTTTTAGCTGCACTGTTCACCGCCGACGTCGAGCTGTAGTCGCCCCGCAGCTGCATGCCTGAGCTGCGGCGCCTGGCGCGATGATGATGCCGGTGAAAGCTCTGGCAGCGCGTGCAAGAGCGCTGCGAGGACGAAGGCGTGGGTGCCGCCGATGAATGATATTGATGAGAGTTGCGGGCGACGCCGGCGCCAACCCCGCCGCCGCAGTTGCTGCTGCCACTGCAAGTGCTGCAGCTGCTCGGCTGACGTCACATCAGGGTGCGGTCCAGCTGATTGACGGAGTGGTAGCCAAAGGATGTTGAGGCGGCCACCATAGCGGCGGCAACATGACACTGTGCGAGCAAAATAGACAGACGGAGAGAGATAGGTAATATAAGAATTTTGTAGTTAAATTCCGATTTTAGCACTTTGCATACAGCTTACAGGCAGTGTTGAAATTTGTTTCTCTCTGTGTGTGTGTGTGTGTGTGTGTGTGTGTATGTGTTTGCTAGTGTCTGTGTGTGTAGGTATAAAACAATTTGCCTTAAAGCATCGCAACAGCGGCAACAAAGATGTTCAAGACAACAATGACAACAACAATGACAACAACAATGACAACAACATTGACAACAATTTGAAAATGTTGCGGGTTTGCTTTCAGTTTTTATGTGCACTGCGGTGCTTTTTTTTCGGGTGCAGTAAAAGTCAAAGCGAAATGCATGATTGAAAAACAACAACAACAATAAAAGTAACAACAAGAACAAGAGCAGCAAAAATAAAACAAAAGAGAAAGCAATGCAACACAATAAAAGAAATGTGTTTTTTGCAAACGGCAGCAACAGCAGCAGCAGCAGCCTCAGCCGTAGCCAGGTAGGTTCGGAGCAGGTTGGGGCTTGTTCCACACAACACAAAAATACAATTTCCGAATATTAGCTGCAACATTTCTGGCCCACAAATTTCGATTTCTGGTATTCAGTGGGAACGTTCCTCAAACACCAACAAGTAACAAAAAAAAAAAAAACGGTAAAAGCTTTATCATCATTCTGTTGAATGTTCATTATCATCTTGAGCAGGCATAATGGCCATGTGGTTACTTGTCTGTTGTTTGCATGTGTGTGTGAGTCCCATCGAGCTGCATTCCGAATTGTGTGGTTTTTGTCTATTCCTTAGGAATCGCACGTTGCAATTTGCTTCTTTTCAAGACAGATTGGACCTTCAATTCAATTACAAGCTGACAGCAATTGTGGCACATTCTAATATCCTCTTTGCTTGTAAACGACTTTTATTACGCATACGAAACGATTTGCCGGTCCTTGGGCGTTGCCACAATTTGATTAACTGCTGTAACTAGCTTTTGATTTGAATTTCTACCTCAGGCACTTGAACTCAGGCATTCGTGCAACACAACTTTTGATAATTACTTTTAAATAAAACTTTATAAAAATATACATATATATGCACCATTTCTTTGTTTAAGTATCGAATTCTCATTTCTTAACCTAATAAACTTACATATAGAATGGACACGCGATTTCTCGACTTTTACTTCTTTTCAGATTCATTACTCACAACATAGCTACAGTATTATCTGAAGGGCGTGCCTAGCTCTCAAAAATAGGCGTGCTACGGTCAAAGTTCACTCAACTCTTGGGTCCGTAAAATGCTTTTTTTTCGCTCTGGAATTAGTCACTGCTACGCCCTTTTCTTATAATTTATTGCTTAATACTCTATTTGCCACCAGTCGGGATACACCCAAGGATCAAACTGCCAGACGTTCGGGCAGCTGCCATCCATTCGGGACAATGAAAACTGTGAAAGTTTTGGACATTACTGACATTTTACAACAAAAAATTAAAATAGTACAGCTTATGCCGACTATTAAGCTATCCTGTCCTTATCCCATGAGATACCTTGGACAAATTTTGTCGCATTATCACTACATCTGTTAATGCTACAAAAGCATTTTGTACCTGGGCTTCCGACTGCAATTAATTACAAATGTTTGAGATTTGTGATACCGAGATATACAATAGCTACGTACATGAAAGAAATTATGACTGGAATAGGTACGATAGGCTTATACCCTTGGAATACGTCTATGTTACAGGGTATTAGATAGGTCAAAAGCTTCGGTTTTGTTGCGCACCACCAAGCGTCGCGACAGTGGCCGCTTTTGGCGACTCTGTCACATAATTATAAACGTTAATTTCACGTTCACAGTCCATTAGGGATAATTGATGTTTTTGCAACATTTGTGGTAAATTACATTTTGATGTTCTGCCTCACGAGCTTAACAAAATAAAATAAAAAAAAACAAGAAGAACAAAATTCCAAACTAAAACAAAAACTCAGCACTAACTGGCGACAAAATGTCGGTAAGCACGACATCGCTTTAATTTAACCGTCAATTTGCGAAACAGCAAAGAATTTCTTTGATTGATTGTTTTACTAATAATTTAGCTTTGGTTTTCATAAATGGCACAAAGCGCTTGCCATAAATGTATACAATTAGCAGCGTTTAGCATAGCAGTTTAAGAGCAATGCGTATTATTGTCAATACATGATAATTGCCTGCGGCAAGGACGAGCTTGAGTTCAGCCTCTACTCGAATGCGCCAAAGCGCAGCAGCTCCGTTGTGGGCCCCGGTCTCAGGGTGGCCATAGAGTTCTTCTGCAAACATTTAGAATTACAATTACATATTATTTGTGCAATATAAGGCATTTTCAAGCTCAAAACAATGTAAGTGTGACTGTGTATGTATATGTGTGTGTGTGTAAGATATGTATGCGTATGTGTGGATTTTCCTACGTATAATCATGGCCGTATTCCCCTTAAGCATGGCCCCAACGCTTCATCCACAAAACAAAGTTAGAATGTCACCATCTTCCTTGATTAGGTCATTTAAGACGTAATCTTGAGCAAATTCACGTTTTAATCTAATTTTGAGTTTAATTTAATAATTGTTTAATTATCATCTTTCTTAATCAAAGTAAAATTTCACACTTTATGACACTTAATTAAGTTTTAATGTTATGGAAAGGTTAAAAAAAATCCAGGTATCGATATACATATGTTGTATATTCCTGTGGTACAATATTAAGATCTAATTTTTTTTACGAAAATACATGAGTTTTTATGTTCAAATCAATTGATCAATATACATATTAAAGAATCGTCAACTTTTAAACTGACTGACTGACTCGCTGAATGACTGACTGACTGATTGGTGATCAACGCACAGCCCAAACCGTAAGAGCTAGGAAGCTGAAATTTTTACTGCAGTTACCCCGTTAAGACGGGGTTTCGGGATATTCCACCCGCAAGTGTGGAAAAATCGCGAAAAGCGTTTGTATGCACGTTAAGACGGGGTTTCGGGAAATTCCACCCGCAAGTGTGGAAAAATCCCGAAAAACGTTTGTAGGAAACTTTCTTGGTTACCATCCGATCGGCTTTGAACTCTTTTTCAAAGATCTTTGTTCAAATTCATTTGTGCGGTGTTTCACGCTTTTCGAAAAATCCATCTTCCTTGGTGGAAATGGGGGCCAAAGATTTGGTGGGTGAAATTTCGCGCTCAAATTCATATCCAAGGATCTATATGAAAAATCATTTGAGGCGTGTTTCACATTTTTCGCAAAATCAAAGCTTCCTCGCTGGAAAGCGCGATTCATAGAATTTTTTTAATGAAATTTTATGTTTTGTCCGATTTGCATCAAACTTATTTTCAAAGCTCTACATAGGGACTTAATGTATACGTGTTTCAGCGATTTGGGAAATTCCAATCGCAACAGTGCTTAATTAGCTGAAAACGTTTGCATGAAAGTTTTTTGTTTACCGTCCGATCAGTTTCAAAATCATTTTCAAAGTTTTTTGGGAAAATTTATTTTATTCGTGCCACGGGCATGGCCGGGTTATACCCGCTAGTATTATATATTAAGAGAATGGATATAGATTCTGTGTAATCTTTGTGTAATTCTCCTGCCTTCTATGCAATTTCACTTTGAAGTTTTTTGTACTATTCCCCAATAAAACCCAAACAGAATATAATTTAAATTTTTTATTTTCTTTCTGTAATTAATGATTGTTTAGTTATTATTTATAAACTTTAGTTATCTGAATATTTTCCCAAAGTGTTATCAGCTTCCATTAAACCCCAAAGTTGGAACCCAATCAGAGTGTGTATTTCTGGGTCTTGTAAGTGGTCTGTGTGGGTGGAGAGAAGTCAGAGGACGAGTCAAACAACAAGCAGAACAGCAGTCAAACGTCAATGAAGTTAATTTTCAGGAGGCACTCATACACACACTTAAGCACACGCACACACAGAAGCACGCACAGATAAGTGAGAGGACAGCGAACAAACAACGGACCAGAGACAACACAGGACTAAAGCGGAAAATAAGAAGATAAGGGGTACCAGTTGCACTACGGACCACAAGCTAAGTCCTGCAAAATAGGTAAACGAACCGAAATCACCCTCGCACAGAGCCCTTTATGGGCGCTGCTTAACGGAACCATTTTCATTTGTTGTCCGTCTGGCAAATGGCCAACGGAAGTTGAGTCATTTACCGCTAATTTCAGGCATTACCGGAAGTTGTGTATGCTATTAAGTGCCCGCCTTTGAAATTGGGCTTTAACATTATTTATATTATGCTAGCCTCATGATTGAAGAACATCCATTATAATGATAGGATATATGCCACAATTGGAAAGATTTATTTTATAAAAGGAAAATCTCTATTTGTATTATGAAAATCTGTTAATTGTATCACAACAGAATTATTGAACTCAACGTTTTTAAAATAGCTTTACCCCTTAATAGTTAAACTAGATCACTGCTACTTTAAGCTTTTTTAACTCAATAAAATAGATTAAAAAAATATAACTTTTAAATAGTTTGCCTCAGCATTCAATTGATAATTAATAAAGAGCACTTTATCTATTAACCTGGTATTGACAAAGTCGGATAGTAATTAAGATAATTAAAATATAAGAGTGTCTTCAATATACTTATAAAAGCCCTTATGTTTTTACATATGCAAGCATATGTCCCCCATAAAATAAGAGATTTTAAAATCAATGTAATTTCGAAGCTATCGCTGTCATATCAAATCTTATTTAATCCCAAAGCGTTAAGGATCACATAGCATTGTAAGCTTATTGATTAACATATTGAAACGAACAGAATTCGATATGCTTTTACTTTAGCGGTACTTTTAAGTGCCTGGCCCCAATAACTCAGCTGCTGCTTTCGTTACCCTTTTCAAAACTTTGTTGTTCACAACAACACATATACAATTGGAAAAGTAAGAGGAATTGGCTTGCTCTGGGTGTAATTGGTATCATGTCAGCCACTCGAAACCTAAGACCGAACTGAAAACGAACAAAAATATCCACTCCCACTTCCAAATGGCATTCAAATAGTTACTATCGAGAGCTTTAAATAACATTTTCATCATTAAATTATATAATATATTTTGTGCATATGCGTTGGGAATGTGTATATGTGTGTGTGTGATGTTTGTTGAAAATTGAGTTGGAAATTTAAAGTGCTAAAAGTATTTATGGCTAGCTTGATAGCATGTCCAAAATATCGGATGTTGGGCTGTGCGAGTTGATTTCAAAATATGGCCAAGCACACTTATCGATGGATGTGTAAGGGTGGGCGTGTGAGTGTGTGCCACAAGAGCCAAGTCAAAAGGCCAACAAGTAAAAGTGGCAACAATAACAACAACAATGGCAAGTTAAAATTTCAAAGTAAACACAGAAAGAAAAAAACACATTTATATACTTACAGTGGAAAAAAGTCGGATGGAGAGAGGAGAAAGAGAGAGAGAGAGAGACAAAGGTGGAAACTTAACAACAAGATAAACAGTGGGTACATTATGTGAGTGTGTGCGTGTGTGTAAGTGTGTGCGTGTGCGTATGTATCTTTATATGTAGATTTGTAGTGAATGGTTGGTAAAAGCAATAATAACAATAACAAAAACAGCAACAGCAACAATGGCATAAACGCTGCAAGGACAACATGTCCTTGTCCTGTGTGCTCGTGCTTCTAAGACTTCGTATAAGCAGGGAGCTTTTCTTTAAATTTCTCCTTAGCCAGTACATACACACACACACCTAGAACGGGGTTACGAAATTGTTGGCCAATACAAGCTTTTTTACCTCGCGTATACTTATCGAACAGGCGCTTGTCATATAGATTAAATTTTTAATTGCGAGGTATCCGATAGAACATCAAGTTTTTGCGTAGTACGTTCAACGACAATAACAACATCAACAACAAAAAAAGCTGCCATGCCAAAGGGAATTTAACAAACAGAGACATTGAGCCAAGAGTCAGGACTGGGCAAAACTCGGTTGTTCCCATGGTAATATGCGGGCGTGTGAGGCTGCATAGTGTACGTGTGTTCGCATGTGAGTGAGTTCAGGTGCAATACATTCAACAGGTGAAATCACAGTTCATTTTGCGATTTCTTTTGCCGCCTTCGCATACACTTAAAAAACGAATAACAAACAACAATGTCACAGGCGATTGAACAAGCACAACAGGCGCATCGCCGAGTAAAACATTGATATAGAGACAAAGAGAATTAAATGGAGATACGGATAACAAAGAGCGAGAGAGAGAGAGAAAGATAGACAAAAGGAGAGAGGCGTGGGGCAACAATGTGCAATGTGTACAATGTTCATCACATATGTAGTTTATATGTGTACAGGCAACACTTCGCACAGTTGGCTGTGCATGACTTTAAAGAGACGGCACGAACCAACGAACACGAAACAATAAATACAAGTTAGACAAGTCGCTTACCTTGCCATCGACTTAGAAACATAATAGCTTGGGGAAGCGCCTCAATCATTACGAGCGAGCCTGTTGAATGGCAACTAAATCTATGCAAAACTATATATAAGTTTGCTCGCAGGAATTGTGGCGCACGTGCTGAATTCCGTGCAGCGAGCAAGTTGAGTAGCAGCGCCGAGTCGCAAATCTCTGTAAGAACACCACCAGAATCATAATCAGCAGCCACATTAACCACCTTTGAAAAGAGCTCCCTTTGGTTTGGGGCTCTGCCAACATGGTCGCAATCCCGCAACGAAGGGCGTTGTTGGTTTTAGGTCTTTGGTCGATATGAATGAAGTTATTCTCAACTGATGATACAAATGAATATATGTTTGTATGCTATATATGTACACACATGAATGTATATCATATTTGTCGATCAGAAATATTGTTCTATATGTTTTGATAGTCGATTTATTAAGATTATGTTCATGAGAAGTGAATAACCAACAAAGCGTTTACCAGCTGCTCAAAAACTTGCCAATTGAAAACAAAATTGTATAAATATTCTTCATTTTTATTTGCTAATAACCAGAAATATAAAATGTTTTGCAAAAGTTTAAGGAGTGCTTTAAATATTGAGAAATATTATTTGTTTTTCGCATTTGGCAAGTGAGGCAATCCGACTGAATGTCCCTCATTGCCAGCTAATCTAAAAAACTATAACAAGTGGCTTGTAAAAGTTATAGGGTTATAAAATTATAGAATAAATATCCTGTTTTTATTTTGTTTTGTATTTTAGTTTAAAGTACTGTATTGTAAAATAAAATTTTCTTAATGATTGCCATCGTTCAATAAACGAATCTGGAATTACTGAAAGCTGTGACTATTGGATTTGTCTGACGCTGACCCACTTTAAACAGAGCTCAGATACACATTAAAAAATAGTTCCAGCAATGGATGTGCGCGTGGGCGGAAGCAGGCGCAGTTGCCAATGACGTTAACTGATGCGCCGAGCTGTTTATTTATGCTGAATTATGGGGATGTGAGGAACCTTCCAAAGCACTGAGTGTGCTGCTCTATTTGCCAGACATGTGTGAATGCAACGGCAGGAGCTTGGCATAGAGGGAAGAAACGGATAGAGGCAGGGCAAGGTTAAAACTTGCTACGTTTATTTTTCTTCTTCTTCTTCTCATATTCATTAAATTTGTAAATTAATTTTGTCGTTCGTTGTGTTGCGTTTTAGGAGCATATGAGAGTAGAGGCATAATTTATAAACAGTTTTTGGCGTCGTTCAGCCCCACAGACAACATGTTGATAAAATAAAATTAAATGTTTCGCTATTCCAATGAAGAAAGATTGAGCAAGATTGTTAAATGGAGAGTGCACGAGATGGAGCTAGACGTTTTTGGCATGAAAGAGACGCGAATCCATGACAAATCCCAGCAATGAGAAACCAAACAAAAACCGCAGTTCAGTTGAAACGGTCCAAAAGGCTGGACAACAACTCACCTGTGACTTGGAGCGCATTGTGGGCTGATATTTACGGCGTATCTTGCGGGGACAACACATGCACAGCAGGCGCACAAAAGCTCTGAAAGGAAGGCTGAACGTGAGACTTTCCTCTTTACTTTGCCGAGCTGGTCACATACCTGCGAAAGTCTCTGCTCCAACAGGCATAGATCACTGGATTCATGCAGGAGTTAATCCAGCCTAGCCATGTCACAATAGCCGAAACAATCTCCTCGTGCTCAATGCACTCGATGCAGAACCCGGACAACAGATTCACCACAAAAAACGGTAGCCAGCACACAATGAACACGCCCATCACAATGCCCAGCGTCTTGGCCGCCTTCTTTTCCTTGGCAAACTTAGCCAGCTTCCGTGAAAGCGAAAAGTTCTTGCCCATGTGTCGATGTCTGGCCAGGCCATTATTGTGCAGCGCCGATAGCGGCTCATCGTCCGGCTCCTCGGGCGTGGATGTCGTTGTGCCGCCGCTATGATTATGATGATGATGCGAATGGGAGTGCGAGTGGCTGAGGGAGCCACCGCCACCACCGCCACCACCGCCTGAGACTTGATGTGTGTTGGGGGCGGGATCCCGAGTGGTGCCGCCACGATGAATCCGCAAAGTCAGCTGCAGTTCCCCGGATGCCATGAGCACCTGCTTGGTGCCGATCTTAAGGGAGCGTGTCTGAATGACCGCCGCGCGATAAATGCGGCAATAGGTGAAGACCATGACCAAGAGTGGCAGATAAAAAGATATGGTGGATGAGAAGACTAGATAGCCCAGATGCTCGGTAAAGGTGCACTTGTAGGCGGGCATCTCACCATCTCTGGCGGCCCGCCACCACACAATGGCCGGAAAACTAATTGCACTCGAGCAAATCCAAACAGCAGCTATCAGGCCAGCGGCACGCTTGACTGTCATCCGCATGGGATAACTAAAGGGATCCGTGATAGCCCAATATCGGTCCAACGAGATGACGCACAGGTTCAGTATTGACGCCGTGCTGAAGAGCACGTCCAGCGAGCGCCAAATGTCGCACCAGTCGGTACCAAAGAACCACGTGTTTTCCAGCACCTCGTACAGTGCCGAGAAGGGCATCACCACCAGACCCACCAGGCAGTCAGCCACCGCCAGGCTCGTAATAAAATAGTTGGTGGCCGTGTGCAAGTAGCGCTCCCTGATGACAGCCAGGATGACCAGCGAATTGCCAAACACCGTGGCAAAGGAGAAGAGGAACAGAAAGGCCAGCAGGCCAACACGATCGTTGGGCAGCGCCTCCAGATACTCGGACAGATCTGGCTCCCGTGTGGTACTGGTAGGCGCCCCGCTTGTTGTATTCAAGTTCAACGCTAGCTCTGTACTCGTAGGCGCCGCATTGAAGCCATTGAAGTAGTAATAGACATCCTCCGAGATGTTGTAGCTGTTGTAGAAGACCGGAGCACGCGTCTGATTGAGCACATCGCCGCGCAACAACGCCAGGACGGGCTCCACCATGTCAGAAGCAGCTGCATCCGTTTCCGGCGCCGCCAGCTGACGTGGTTCATCATTACTCTCAACCGTAGCCATGGCGCCGACACCAACCTAATACGATGTCAGTGCAGCTGACACAATACCCAGTTCCTGTTCCTGTTCCTGTTCCAGTTCCTGGTTCAGTTCCACGCTCTGAAGTCCGCGGCAGCCAAGCAAATTAATGAGTCGCATTTTTACGTCTGCGGAGAAAAGTCAATACTGGAATATAATTATATTTCGTATTCAAAGAATTAATGGTAAGAATGAAAATATTTATATTCTGTGAAATATCCTGCAAATGCCCACAATAGGTGTTTTTTGAAAATTCAAGGTAAACTTGTACAGTAGATTTCCATAAGTAAAGTGTACTTTTTCCTGCCATGGAAGCAGCTTGTACTGAAATTTCATTCAATTAAAATGTTGACTCGCATCCGTCCCCACCACATCTGTGCCTACAGGTAACCACACCTACCAAATTGTGAGAGCACAAAAGCTAAACAAACACATTAATTAGAGACGTTCGCGCTTCTGCTTTTTGTCCTCTTGTTATTTTCGGACTTTTTTGGGCATGGCATGCAAAACGATACCGTCAGACAACAGCCTGGAGTCTTTCAGGGCTTCCGTTCGAAATTCAGCTGTAGCCACCGATGGCAGCTGCTCTCCTTAAGGTGCACAATTAATTTACCTAAAGCCACGGCGGCTGTCACAAAACGGCAAACATATAAACAAATTAAATTACATCTCAAGTGGCAGAAAGGACAGGAAGTTCCGTATAAGGCACTTGATGCAGCCACCCAGCATCCCCGCAGCGTTCGAAAACGGAAGTCAATAATTGCACAGCATTTAACCACGAGTTGTTGCTACTCCCAGCGAGAGTTGGGTGCATAACTCAGTTGATTGACCTCTGTTTACTCCGTATATAAATGTTTTTTAAAAGAGGTATCCCAACATGGTGGTAAATAGGAAAACGGAACACTCTGGTAAAAAACGTAACGTCACGATGTTGTTCAAGCGGGATGGAATTACTTCAAATTTAAAGTACAATTCATACTTGAGTGAACTTAAATCAAGTACGCATCGTTTTCAAATTCAAAACTGATTTCAGTATTTCATGGTCTTTAATCAATCGTATTTTGTACATGATGTAATGGCCATCCATAGTTGAATCAAATCCATTTCGTTTTTAAGAGGTTATGACACTCCAGGATATTCAAAAAATCAATTTCTTGCTTGAAAAGGTCATTTAGAGTCTAATAAATAAGATTTATAAGGATTATAGCTAATACCTTGTAGAACTTTCAACCGATCGGGCTCAAGTCTAACTTGCATATTAATTAATAGATCGACGGGGCTGTTTTGTGAATTGCCTAATTCATGTTTTTTAACACTACTGATAATTTTAAACTTCGTGATGCCTAAAAATTGTATAAGTTATTGGGGGCGGCCACAGAGCAATTAGTCAAAAATCAATTTGTATAAAAATACTTTTTGTATACTTTTTGTGCTGTTCGGCTTCTGAAGATAAATTGCAAAACTAGTGACAATTAGTACAAGTACCTTAAAAAATAAAAATGTTGTATCTAACAAAATTATACTTTCCTACGATATCTATTTAATATAGTGGCTCCACCCAGCCAAGTTCAACATATGTTCCACCAGAAAACAGAAAAGGATCAATGTTCCATATGTATTCGGCCGTTATAACAATGATCACAGAATAAGTGATAACTGATTGGTGATCAATGCACAGCCCAAACCGAAAGATCTGGGAAGCTGAAAAATGCACGCTAAGACGGGGTTTTCGAAAATTTCACCTTTAAGTATCGAAAAACGATTGTATTAATCTATTATGTTTTCCATCCGCTCGGCGCCGAACTCGTTTTCAAAGATCTTTGTACAAAGTCTTTCGAGGTTTGCTTTACAGTTTTCGGAAAATTCGTTCCTCCTTGGTGGATTTGGTAGTGAAATCTTTCACTAGGTTAAGTTTCGGGTTGTAATTAATTTCCACGGACCTTTATATAAAATAAGACGTGTTTCACATTTTCTGCTAAGTCCAACCCTATGTGGAAAATGCGGATCAATAATTTTGTGGGGGGAGCTTTTAAGTTACGTTCGATCATCTTCAAAACCCTACATAAGCACTTAATGACTACATGTTTCAGCAATTTCAGAAATTACGTTCACAACTGTGGTAAATTGGCAGAAAACAGTTGTAAGAAAGTTTTTCGGATGTTGGGTGAAAAATGTATATATATAAATCATATGCCACGGGCAAGGCCAGGGAGTAACTGCTAATGCTCTAATATCTAATATAATAATAACATTTGATTTTAAATTGTTAAGGGAACTGTAAATAGTGTATCGATATGTGCGAGTACTTAATATATTAAAACTGGCTGATATATTGAAATATTTGTATTTGTCCATGCACCCACATTTTAATACATTTTATAAGTTGCAAAAATACTTTTAAGGATATTTCCTTTCTTTTTATTAAACTTCTCTTCCTTGAGAGTAGCAAAGGTAAAAAATCTTTAACACTTCCTGACAAACTTGTTGGCCCTAACGGAAGAACTGCTAACAATATGATTGAAATTGAGTGAATATTCGGTTGACTGACGATTGGATTTGGGGTGCGATTTGTTCCGTATTCATTGAATAGGGTCCATGCAGCCGGTCGTGACTTTTGTTTACTCAGTCAATCCACTCCGGGCAGTCCAAAGCTGTCTTGAATTTTAAACGACATGTGGCTTGGCCACAGTTAGTTTTTGTTTAGCCAGATTCTGCATTTATCACATCGTCCTGGCTGTCCTCAGCTGCTTTTGCAAGCTATTCATTTCACGTCTGCCTGTGATTATCACCTGCCAGTCTAAGACCATGGTGATAAGGCGCTGCTGGCAAATCAAATGTAGCCACATGCATTGGCTTCAGCCAGTCAGCCAGAATTTTGCTCCTCATTTCCGGCGGATTCGCGTCGCCTGCATGCCATAAATTTTCCTGCCTGCCTGCCTGCTGTCGTTGGCTTATCTCCCCCTCCACCCTAGACGCCTGCTATCAAGTTCTGGTGTCGTTATGCTTGCTTTCTTCGCCTTTCGTCTTTACTTTGTTAGCTTTTCAGCTGTTTAGTACAATTTCCTGGCGCATTTCTCACGCACGACGAAAAAAAAAACTGCGAACATTTTTTTCACTTACGATGAGCGTGATGAGTCCGTGGATGTGCACAAAGTCAAAATGTGAGCAAAGTGGAGCCCTGTGTGCCCAAAAGTTTTGCCTCTTCAAGTAGCCCAAAACACCGCCCAAGATACTTACCAAAACGCTTAAAAACAGGCTGCCACATGAAATACCAAAGAAAACATGAAAAATAAGTAAAATTGCTCTAGACGGGAGTCCACGACTAGGAGATACCCTGAAACCAGCGCTAATCTACCATGGCAAACATTCCTGCTTCCTTCTAACAATAAATACGCAAAATCAGCCAATTGCTTTGCAATTAACGTTGCGAAGAGAAGACAAAGAAAAAGAATCTATATTGCGGGATCTGGCAGAGGTTCCAAAAAATAAAAAATTGTGGATCTTTACGAGAACCTACCTTCTAAATTTTGAGACTATGACTCTTATAGGCTTTGAGGTATAGCCAAAAGTTTACGTAGAATCCAGGATATCTATAGACTATTTGAAATAAATTTAATCTGCGCGGGCAATAAGGCATTCTACATTCCACGTTTGTAGAGTCTAGCTCTCATAGACTGAATTAACGCGTTCATACATACGGACAGGCAGACAGTTCGACTCGGCTGTTGTTACTAACGAACTAACTATATATATATATATAGTTATATATATATATACAGTCAATGAGGTCGGAGATGACTCTTTTTACCTGTGACATATATTTGTACAAAACAATATACCCTTTTTAGTCACTTTCAATGGTCTCAGAATATAAAAACAACAAAAAACCAAGAAGAAAGGCAAATTCATATGGCGCACTGAAATGTGTGGATGGATGTTTGTGTGTGCCTGGTTGTGTGGGTGCGTCCGCTGGCTTGCGCGGCGCAACAATTTAATTGAAGCAGCCTTAAAGCAGACCTATACTTGGCACACTGCCAAACTCGACCCTTTTAACAGTGGTCTATGCAAATGACGTCGGCCACGGCAGCAATTTGTACATGTGCTTAAACCCTTGCGACCCGTTCCATATCCTTTGCCTGTATCTCTACTTTTTTGGCTGGAAAAGGACCCAAATTGGTTAAGTTATTGAATAGACGAATGACAGTTAACCGAAATGGTGGGCGGCACCAATTTATACGCACTGATTACGAACAATTTTGTTCACACTTCAGCAAGGTATTGCAATTTAGTTGTCAACTGAGCTACGCTGCAAATACAGGGTGTCCGAGAGATTTTATTGATTTTAGATTTTATTGAGATTGTATTGTATTTTATTTAGAAATTAACGAAGAAATGAAAAACCACAAAGAATGTTCACTTAAGTCTGAGCAAAATAATCGTAGTGAACAAGAAGAAAACTAATTATATCAAAAGAAAATATCTTTTGCTATCTGGCATTGGGTGACTTTTTAGCACGGATTTAACTTTTAATTAGGGTCTATCGATCTGTTTAGAAGGTTTGTAGCATTAACACAGGAATGCTTAATTATAATTATAATTATAATTTATAATTCATAAGTACATATGTATGTATTCAAGCAGACAACATACTAATATTGATTGCTAATTGATTTTCTCAAGAATACAAATTATAATGAAGTCGACATAGGACGTTGGTTCCAGTTGGTAATTTAGCCTTATATCTGCATACATACATATATACTATGCATGAGAAGACATTTATCTGTTCAGAATTATTTACACTGTATATTTATACGAACAGATTATTCAAACATATTCAATAAAGAAATACATTTTCTTTATTTGTAGGTTGAATTCCCGTAGAAGATTCAACATGGACAATATAAATTAATTTCACAAAGTGAATTATAATATTATGAAGTATATGAATACATTTCTTTGAGGAGTAAACTATAGAGGCTTTGAGGAATTGCTCGGAAGAAGACGACAAAAAATAGAAGGAAATCAGATTTAAGAGAAAAGTACTTTTAGCTTTAACATTTATGTATGTAGAAATAGAATTGAATAAAGCCTTATATCCTTAATATCATACTTGTAACGATTGACC